TATTAATATTGTATTATTGTTATATTATTATTATATTATAAAAATTACAATTGTGATATTTAGTATATTTATACTATATATTACTATAAAAATCAAAACAATTGTGTTATTTGAAAGTTACCAATTCTGTAAAATCCATTCCTCTGTCTGTGTAAGGTCGACTTTAGTTGCAACTGTTTTGAGCAATTCTATATCTTTAAAGGAGTCATCGTCGATTTCACATGGCAATTTGGGATCTATTCGCCACGCGCGCTCTCCAAACATCACTTTGGCAAATTCATCAGCCAACGCTATTCCCGCTGTCCTAAACAACTCTGTTACACAGGTCGCCCATTGTACATACCCAGCACCCATGAATTTTTCAGAGTCGAAATACGTCTTAAAAGTCCCTCCACTCAAGCTGAGAACAACACTCTCTTTTGGGTCATAAAACGCTTTAGCTGCTGCGAAGGGTTGATTGATCAAAAAAGAACCGTCGACGTACGATTGGTGACATGTGAAAAATCCGGGTGTTGCAAACGACCTCATCACCACATCGGAGAGTAAATCGTCCGCATTAATGACTGAATCGTCCACATCAGTATTAGTTTTCTCAAACACTATATTATTCATTAACACAGGTATCATTCTCCGATTCGGGTCGTCAACACCAGAATCTATTTTAATAACAGGAATGACAACTTCCCTCTTCAAGTCCTTCAATTTCTTATCTTGAAAGATTTTGGACGATAAGATCCTCACAAACTTACTCGAGTATTTGTACGACAAAACTCCCCCTTTGTGTGACGTCGTCGAAAACACTTTTATCATCGTCTTCTCAGTAATAGTTATCATACTGTCTATATCAAACCCTACTAATGACATCAACACCGGTAAAGTACTCGTCCCCACCGAACAAATCATATCGACGTTATCCAAAAAGTGTGGGAACTTCTCCACAATCCGTTTCAATATCAGCAGTTGCAATATGACTTTCACGCCACACCCGTCCAACGACAATATGCGGAATTTGTTCTCCCCAACTACACGTTGTCCTAACATATACTCTTTCATCGGCTTGTTGTCTTGCAAGAGCTTGTCAATACACATTTCATACTTCTCTATTTTACTCTTCAAAAACGGGATTTTGAACTTGTCTTTGTCTTTGTCTTTCTCTTCTTTCCCTTCCTCTTTCATGTCATTCTCACTGTCATCGATCGAATCAATTAATGAAAACCCTTTCAGCCCTCGGTGGTTCTTCGGTAGCTGATCTTTATTCGTTTGTGCGTATTTAATAGCCGCTTGGACCGCTACACTCTCTCTGAACAATTTTGCACATCGCTCGTCATTCGCTTCCGCATATACAACGGGACTAATCCCATCATTATTTAACACCGTCGGATCCGCTCCACACCCAATTAATATTTCGGCCAATTTCACGTTGTCTTCTTTCACAGCAGTGTGCAGTGGAGTCTCCCCTATCAAATTCTTCCCATCAACTCCTCTCGCGCTTTTTTGGTCCGCCCCCGTCTCTTTCATCTTTTTTTCCGTCAACGCATTGATGAGCGAATTCACAAAGGAAACGTCTTTCTTATGGACGCGAACTCCCGCCATCCGATGAAGGCCATTCTCCTCCAAACTATTGACCACAGTCACATTACACCCTTTCTCTTGGAAAAATTGCGCTATTTCAAAATGACCGGCACCTATCGCATACAGAAAAGGGGTGTTTCCTCGTGCGTCAGTAATTTCAAGGAAGTTGGGCGCGTGGTGAAGAATAGTTTCCACTAAGGTCAAATACCCCATCTCAATCGCTTTGAAAAGGAGAACACAACTCCGAACACTTTTCCCTATCCATATAGGAAATGAAGTCGTCAATTCAGCATAGACCCGGTCGGCTTGACCTTTGTCCATCATCTTGACTAAATCGACAAGTCTCGACTCGTCCGCAGGGGGTAACGGGTCTTTCGATATTTCGTTTTTCTCATTGGTTACTACACTCACATCCATCGTTTTCCTTTTTTGTTCATTCTTTTATTTTCGTTCTATAGTAAACCAGATGGAAATCTTTTGTAATAATTTAACACTTTTTATTAGCATTTGACTTTTTTCTATTTGTAACCAAATGTTCTCTTGTCATTTTACTAATGATGTCAGAGAATCTATTTATTATTGAGTATTACATTAATAAAAATATTATCATAATTTGTACTATTACTTTCATATAACATTAAAAGTTACTTCACCAGTCTTTCTACATTTTTAACTACAACATTGGTTTTTTAATAATAAAAAATGTTATTTTACTTAGCTTGACAAAAATACCAAGACTCAAATGGTTTTTATTATAAACTATATTTGTAGAATTTGTCTTCAAAACAAGAGTATTAATAACAATCAATTCATATTTAATTCATACATCGAATATACTGTTGCGCAATTCGAATAAATACCCTCATGTGCTTCCCTTCTTTGTAATGCACTTTGAGTACCTCTCGCTCAAACCGTTTGAACCTGACCAAGTCTGGCTCAATCTTCAACATCAATTCATCCAAAGGTAATGTGTAGATCACGGCTTCGTCTTTCAATATAACAAACATTGTTTCGGTCAACACTATGTACTTTGCTCGCGTTTTTACATACACCACAAAATCACCAAGTCCCTTTTTATACACAATCCATGCTATTTTATTTTCCTCGTTGTTGTACTCCAATATCCTTTTACTTTTCATCCCTATTCGCGGTATTCTTGCTCTCAAAACCATCTCACTCGATTCCTCGACAATACCTTCCGTTACCTTTGCTGTAAAGTCAACAACCCCTCCAACAGGTTTCATCACAACACCAACAATTCCCTTCCCAATGCCCCCAATTAAGCCATACACTCCACTTTTGCGCGCACCTTTGTACGGTTGCATCACGATCCCTTTTCCTCCCTCCATAATACCTTCTAATATACATTTCAACCCATCCAATATACCTTCAGAAACGTTGTTCGGTTTTAACTGCATTTGTCGCTTTCGAATAAATTCCTCGTCAAAAGTCAGAGAAGCGGCCAAATTTCCGACCGTGTTTGAAAGCGCCGCTGCTGTTGATGAGACGCCATGAATCGAATTTCTAAGTAATGACTCGGTCCCTTTACCAACACCAGACAATCCATTTCCGTTACGCCTCTCTTGTCTTGTGTAAGTCACAAAGTCTGTAATACCATCAGCAAAGGAATTGACCATCGCGCCAGGTGCTCCTATCAGTTCCATTGAAGAAACAGCAGATACCAATTGCTGCATTGCCAGCTCTCTATAAAAGTCCATCAACATCATTCCAAATCTCTCATTTGTCGCAGTGAGTTTCGAACAGTTAATTTCGTTCAAGTGGAGTCTTGCAGATGTTATCGTCAACACAGAAGTTCCAATGACGTGGAGAGGAGCTGTAAACGAGTTGTATGGAATATTAACGAGAAATGATGGTGACAGTTCCGTGCTGATGTTGATGTCTATTGGAGAAACGTACAGATTATCAAAAGTGAACGTTGGTGACGAGTTCACTTCCTTTGGCGTCAAAAAGAGTTCTGGGGTCTTGAGTATTTCGTCTTTCTTCTTCAACCCTTCTTTTCTGAAACATTCTTCGTAGACCTTCAAAACGTGGTGGACAAATGGGGTCTCCAATTTTATGCGCAGTGGCTGGATCTTCACAAAAGCGTTTGGAATATACTTGAAAGTGTTTTCTTCTTGGGAAATGATATCTAGTGAGACAGTAACACCTTTGCATAAAAATGGAACTGCAATGGAACAGTCTCTTGCATTGGAATCGACCTGAAACGGTTCCACAAACAGTCTGTGACGTGTCTTATAAAAACTGCCCAAACACGTGTAACTCACTTCTCCTGTTGAAATGTATGATATCTCTTCCCTGTTTTGATCAATGACATCAACACCAAGGCGGCCGATATTTGCTCTAAACTCTGTGGTGTTTATATTTTCTTTACCAATTAGTCCACCAATGTCCTTTAATGTTTTGTCCCAACTTTGTGTAAAAACAAGAACTGTTACATCGTTTGAGATCCACGTGTATGGGTACACTATCCCACACATCCCACCTTTTGCTTCGTACACCTGTGGATAGTCGAGGTTGTATTGTATAAATTTGTTGTTTGTGAAATCGGCAGAGATTTGGATAGAAGAGATGTTTGACGTGTTGGGGAATACCAGTTCCATCTTTTGGTTCTTCTTCACGATCGTGACAAATTCCGAGTTCATCCTTTTCAACGAAATTTCGTATTGCGTGTCATTCTCTAACACATAGCTGCATTGATTTGTGACTTTCTCAAATTTCACTATTGTGGACTTGTTGACATCAATGGAAATTGTTGACGGAATTCCTTCTTCTACAGCACCATTTTCTTTTCTCAAAAAAACTGTTTGGAAGTGAGTTTCCAAATCTGTTGGAATCAAACACCAAGGTCCATGCGGGTTAATCGAGACCGCAATTTTTTTATCGTTTACATTCATTTTGGAGTTAAAATAAAGTGGCATATTGGACTTGGGAGGCATGAGGATCAGGTCGTTTGTATTTGTCGAAGTCAAATATATTGGTACCTCTAAGTCGTTGATCGCCATATAGCTCGGTCTGATTATGATCTGTCTGTTGTGTTCTGTTGAATCATCTGTTGTTTCTACGAGGACGTTTAGTGTGTAGCAAGTGTTGTTGGCCTCGATCGAAACAAAGTCCTCCATTTTCTCAAAGTATAAAGCCTTTGACCAACAGTTTCCAATTCCAAGGAATAGTGGTTTGTTCGCTCGAGTTATTGGAATTGGCTGACTATTATTTCCAACACCAACTTTGTTACCAATCAAATTCTTTTTGTCCAGAGAAAGCTTTAATGGAATAAATGACCGATTGTAAACCCACTCCTCTGCATCAATTCGAAGATTGCCAAACTCCCACAAATACCGAATTGTGTTTTCTCCTTTCCCAATGGAAAAAATCTTCAACTCGCCGTGCTGAGGAATGACAACACTCATATAACCCGGAATAGTAATTTGAACGACGCTCTGTGGATCAATGAATGTCGAAATGGAACTTCTCGAGGGGATTGGCATTTCAACGGATTCGCTTTTCAACACAAATGGCATTGGTAGCATATTTGTGACAGTCAACGATGGTGACAACTTGATAATAGTTTGGACGTTTTTGGCAATATTCCTCTTAAGAACACGAGTTAAAACACACCGATTGTTGTCTAACCGGATTATTTTTTCGGTGAATAGCTCGCTCAAAGGCATTGTTTTTGCCTTTATTCTTGACGAACATATAGTCACGTTCCCGCCAAAGAGTTGTGGTGGAACGTAGTACAGTTCCTTAGGCTGTAAACTGACATCCACTTTCAAAAATTCGGGCTCTTCGAACAGAGGACGCAATGTCCTTAAACTCGTGGCGTTTGTGTTTGCAGAATTTTGTCTAACACGAGAAGGTGGTTGTGGATGTTTCAATATCGGAGTCGTTGATTGTTTAATTTCAATATTTGTGGTTTGCAATATCGGCAACCCCTCTTTGGACAAAGTGGATGTGCTTGACATCCTTGGACGCTCATGAATTTTTGGGAAAAGCATCCTTTCTTTCCTACATTTCTTCTCTTCCATGTTTTCTATTTTCTCGACTTTGTCATTTGGTTCGGACCCTTTTTCAACCTTTTTTAAAAAGTCGTCGACAAGTCCTTTGTCGAGTTCACTCGGCGGTTTTGATAAACTTCCTACTCGTTTTTTCTGTTTGCTGTTTTCTTCTTGTTGGTTATCATTTTCTTTGTTTTTGGTAATGTATTTGGGATTTTTTGCTTCAAACGTAAGAAACAATTCTTCCTCAAATCCATTGTCAATCGCTAAAAGTGTGGAGAACTTCACTACCTTCGACGAGTTCTCTTCAATGTTCACTGAAACGACCATTTTCTTTCCACCAAACATATTGTGGACGTACTCTCCTTGTGACACAATTGGAACTTCAATACCGTCGCCGTCAGAACTCATTACAACACACTTCTTCATATCCGAGTATTCCCGTTGTTGTGTCATGTTTTCAAAGTGCTGCAATTTGTTATTCAGCCGAATTGTTCCACAGCCATTGATTGATACAAAAAGTCCCTCCCCACTCATTGAGTAAACATCAACAAATTGAATTGGAACGAATTCAAAACTCTCTTTTTCTTCGTTCTTTTTGGTAAAATCAATTTTCATGATTCTTTGAAGCTCCTTTGCAAAGTCGACAGTGAATATCATCTCGATGTTTTTCACATCAATTTCTGTCATATTTCTGTTCACCAAGATACCCTGAATGCAATCAATGACGTCTCTTCGCTTAAATTCAACGAGACTCTTCTCGAGTAAAACATCATACTCTCGCGTCCTCGGGTTATACCCATCGACTTTAATTTCGCCAACAACTCTAAACACACTGTCATCGTTTCTGCTTCGGTACACCAAAGTGGCTCCTGGTATTTTGACTTTACAAAATGGGTCTTTTCTGAGTGGGTTTCCAACGACCATTTTGAATTCGTTGAGATCAATTCTGAACGAGTTCTCAGAGTCGACTTCGTAATTTGTTTCTCCGCCAATTTTCTGGAGCTCTTTGAAGAAAAAATAGAGCAATTGCAAGTCACTGACTGTCGTTTTTAAGTGGACGTTGTTGATGTTGACACCTCCACGTATACCATACCAATTGTCCCAGAACTCTCTCGTGACACTGAAAGACGCCGAAATTCCTGTTGATAGCTGAACTCCTTTTTCCGGAGTGTATGAATGCCCTTTGGAGAAACACGTCCTAATGTCTTCTATTTGTAATTCCGAAAGCGTATTTGAGCCACAATTAGTAACTGTGTGACACACAGAGGCGCTTAACTTCACGTATAACAATTCCGTGTCAGGAGAGTCGTCTTGAACTGCAACAACGGCCAAATCCTTTATTGCAAATGTAAAAACATGAATGTGTTTTGGGGTGATAGCACTTGCGGGTGGACGGGCTGGTTGGAACGAAGTGAGGTCGATGTGGACTTGTGACATTTTAGGTGGAAAAACCGTATGATATAACACAGAGGAGTCTATATTTGGCAATTGATTGTGAAGGAAGTTCCCCTTTTCTGGTACCAACAGCCCGAGTCTCACCAACTCCTCGCAAATATATTCACACACGTATTGTGGGTAGTGCCATTCATAATTTGCTTTAAGGACCAAAATGACCTCAGCTGGAGTCATTGGCAATGGGCAAGCGTCATTTAAATACCTGACTATTTCTTCAACGGCCTGACTCTTTTTACCAAGTCCTTTTGAGATGTACACTTTGTCCTCTCCACTCTTTGGGTCTTTTAAGTGAAGAAGGTGTTCTCTGATATACCTCCCACTCACACTTTCATCCTCCAAATTATTAGAGTCCGTTTTGTTCTCTGTTGTCTTGTCACGTTCAACATCTTTATCTTCTTCATCGCTAACAATAACTAAACAATCTCTCTGGCCAGTCGTCGCGGTTTTAGTTGAAGCTTGGAGTAATGGGTCTTCTGTATTCACAATTTCAATTTCCTTTCCATCGAAGAACACTAAAGATATTGCTATAAGACTTCTGATGAACTTTGGGGCCAAAATGAGTGATGACGGGTGGATGTTGACATTGCTCTGAACATTTCCAGTTTGAATATAATAATTGCCTTTCACGTTTAACACATTTCCCTTTGTGACCTTCCTATAAATCTCTCGATATTCTTTCATCTCGACCTTTTCTCTCAAATCGTCAATCTCGAGATTTTCGCTAAAGAAATCAAAAATAGCATACCCGTTCTCTGTCAAATTTACATTCCCTCCAAATCCACCCAGTTTTAGTTTACATATAGTTTCTATCTCTCCACGTATAGTTATCTCAAATTTCTTCATTGACATTTCAATTGAACTTGTCACCTTCTTCGAGATTGGCTCCAAATCAGCCAAGTCAACAATTTCATCCTTTTGATTATCTTTTGGCTTCTCATTTTTGTGATTTTTGTTGTTCTCACCACTGCTTTCCTCAGAAAAAAATGTTTTGAGAAAGATGAGAAGAATCTTAAACTGATCGGGCGAAATGACAACCTCAGCAAAAGGGAACTGCAACTGGAAAAATGTTATTTCCGTCTTCTTAATGGGTACGTCAACAATGAATGTGAAGTCTCTCACGCAGAACTCTCGTTTCTGGTTCACACAAGTCGATACTTTCATTGTGTCAAAGAGGATTTCCCACCCATCACACCCATCTTCAATTGTTATTTGATTGAGTCGAACTATTACTTGGCCGTATGGAAGATATGCAGTGAGTTGAGGAGACTTTACTTTGATGTCAGTGGTTTTCTGATTCTCATTTTTGTTCTCGAGCTTATGAGTGACGGACTTCTTTAAATACTCGTATTGGTCTTCAACTGCTTTTTTCATTGATGTCAGATCAACAGCTCGCTGTACCTTTTTATCATAAAACACGTTCCAAATGACAAAAAAATCTTCCATCACAAAATTGCACAACACTTCGCCTATTTCAAGAGCGATGAAGTAATTGTCATCATTCGTGTCGACGTATTTAAGCTTCATGAACGTCTTGTCAGAAGAGACTATTGCAGAGTATCGGGGATCTTCGCGTTGGTATAAAACGTTCTTCAATGAAAAGTCGTGTATGTTCAACCCCAAGTCGAGCTTCACGTTGTCTAAGACCATACTTAAATCTAAACCAGAGATGGAACCAACCGCATACACCTTTGTCTCGTTTTGGAGGAAAAAGAAGAAGTGTGAGAGGGTGACATCGATATTGTAAATATAGTCGTTTGGCGTGTCACTCTCGGGAAACATCGAAAGCGACATACAAAAAGTGATTATTTCACTGATGATGGAAGGCTCGTATACAATTGCAAATGTGTTGATATTAAGCCACACATCAACTTTTTTCCCAACCACTTTGATTTTGACGGTCACAAAATCGTTTTTTGACAAGTCAAAACAATTACCATTATCGGAGTCGTTCTCGTTCTCGTAAAAGTAGTTTTGAAGGGTTTGCGTGTTTGGATTCGACTCAACGAGAAACGGAATTTTGTCGTTTAGCCCATTCTTCATTTTGAGACGGTTCAACGTCAACTCAAAGAACACACTTTCGGGTAATACATTCAAACAAAAATTTCCATTCTTTATTTCCACGGCAGTCATTATTTCGTTTTCCTCTAAGTCGCCCACTTTGGCTAAAACAACACAGAACACTGGAATATTCACATTGATGTCCACAGTGTGTATTTCGGCAGTCTTTTTGACTAACTCACTCACCAAGATTTTATCGACGTTGTCAACAGAAGACAACTCATCTGGTGATTTGAGTGAGTCTGGAATGAACGTCATAAACAGGAATATATATGCAAGTATCTTGTCGTATTTCCGTTTTGATATTTTGGCGATGAATGGCTCGACCTCTCCACACAGCTTGACTTTTGTCAATGGCGCATTCGAAAATTTTGTGGAGACCGTGATGGACGCGCCTGTTTTTTGAACAATTGTGTTTTTGTTGGAACATACTTCATCAAGCGATTCAAGCAACAAAATCTCAATGTTTTGTATTTTGGCGAGGAAGTTCTGGTAATTCTCGTCGTTCTGTAAATTTGATACCTTTAAATTCCCAAACGATATTTTCAACACGTTTCCAGTCATCCCCCTTTCGTTTTGGTCGTAATGGAAGAACACAACTGGTGCATTCAAGTTAATTTTTATATCAACAATTGGTGGGTTTTCCGAGAAAATGTCAAGTTGTGTAGCTGCAGAGGAGTACAATTGCTGTAATTGGAACTCTGCAAATTGTTTGACGCAGTCCAAATTCAGGTCTGACGACAGTTTCAAAAATTGTGCAATCGAGTCTAAGTAATTTTTGGAACAATGAATGACCGAATTTGCGCATTCGAGTGTTACAACAGAGTCGGCGTGTTTGTCAGTTGGACTCTTTTCAAAACACAACTGGAACGCCTTTTGTTGTGAGGTCTTCTGCCAAATCGTTCCCAATCCAATTTTGTTTTCGGAGACAATGCCATCCTCAAAACACAATTTGAGAATTAAGCCGACAACCCTTGCCTCAAAGTGGATGTTAAAATTTGATATCCCCAAACGTATGATATCCCCATCATCACACAACGAAAATGAGACATTTCTAATGTTCACATCACTCACAAAAACAACCGTTTCTGGTGGAAGGACAAAGTCATCTTGGTGGTACTCGATTGCGTTGTATATATCCTTAATCGTTTTTTCATCAAGTTGTGGTATTTGATACCCAAAACCAAACCACCCGCGAGAGTTTTCATACCGCTTCTTCTCTTCATTCACTATCTGATACGCTGATTTTCTCAAGTAACAAATTTCCTGTACTCTAAGGCTATCTTCGATTTTTTGGAGTTCTTCGGTTTCTGGTTGTGTTGCTGGAGTGACGTACGGAACTTTTCTGACCTTTTTGAACAATTCCACAAACCGGTCTCGAAGTGATAAACACAACTCGGTTCGTATTGGCGTTTTGTCTTCTTCTTTTTGTCGCAAATAGTCTCGAGTCGCAGTGAACGCAAATTTCCACCATTTCTTTGGGTCTCTTTGTGCAGACACTGTTGGGCGACAGTACAGATATTTAAGTGTCTGTGTATAGGTGGTCATGTGTTCCACGATATTAATAATTTGTTGGTACTCCAACCGTGTTATCGATGAAAAAAGTTCTTTCACTTCGCCGGAAAGTGTTATTTGGTGTCGGACCGTCTTTTCGATTTGTAAATTGAACTCGAAACTTGGGATCTTCGCGATTTCATTTTTCACGAAATCTTCAGTTCTAAATTCATCACATTCACTCCCAAAAACACACTCGGAATACTCTTTTGCTGGAACAAGCGCGAATATACTCATATTACTCAACGTGCATTTTTTTGTAATGACATCTTCGGTGTCATTCTTCTCGTTTTGTACACTGACATTTTCCAAATGAAACCCCAAAATACCTTCATTTTTGTTTCCGATATATACGAATTTAATGTCATGAATTTCAACTTCGACGTTCTCGACTATTTTATTCACAAGTGAAGTCACAAAGCTCTTTTCATCGGAATTTGTTTTTGAACATGTGATTTGTTGCATTAACTCGAATCTCTCCAAAACTTCATTCCTTTGCACTGCCTTCTGTTTCTCGAAGTTTTCGTTGTCAAACACGAAATTTGTTTGTGGTCTTGCGATGATATTGATGCCACTGATTTTGATTTTAAACGGATCTTTTTTGATCGTTTTCCACGGGACTTCGACTTCTAAATTTGATAAAATCCCTGTTGTAATTTGAACGGGAAGGTTGAGTGAAGAACAGGCGTCTCGCTTCACACGCAAATCCTTTAACTTCACATTCCCGTTCCACAAAGACACTGTCACACTATCAACATCCAAATCCTCGATATACTTTCCGATTGTCTTTGTCAAAAAGTCTGCGATTAGTCCTTCAAACATTTATCGAGATAATTATTCATTTTAAGTTAGTTTTGGAGTAGAAAAAAATCGATAATGTTTTAGTTTAATCAAACAGAAGCCACTTTTTTAATTTTTTTTAGTTGTCGATATGCCTAATTTATGGGACTTGAGGGATTCTATTTTTGTTGCATTTTAATAGAATTATTGGAAATGAACAACAACCTATATTGGTAATTAATAATTATAAATACTTTTATAATATTTAATTTAGTTTATATTTTTAATATTTTTATTAAAATTTACTATTTTTTTCAAAAACAATAATATATACTTTATTATAGTTTTGTTAAATTTTCACCATTAATTTAGTTTATTATACTATTGATTTAATTGTTTTATTTTTTTTATCAAAAGATTTGAAATTATTATAAAGTTATCAAAAATTATACTTTATTAATAAAAATAAATTATAATTGATTGGTATTTATTTGTCTAAATGTTTTAAAAAGTTTTATTAAATATAAAGTCGGATTTTTAATTAACGATGGAGAAAATTAACTATATATTTAGTTTTTTAATTATAATCAATAGCTTTTTTTCTTTTTTTTTCGAAATAATAATTTTTTTGTTTTATTTTTAAAATTTTTTACTTTTTAACCAAATTATACATCCAAAAAAAGAAAGCAAGAAATGTGGAGTTCGTAATTTCTTCTCTGGCGAATTTCCGAGTAATATCAACACAACCGACAGACCATTTAATATAGTTAATCACAGAAGTGTCATAGTTATAAGGCGATTAATAGGTCATACCAATTGATTTGAAAAGCAAAGAAAAAGATTGACAACCAGCGTGTCTTTGAGAATGTCAAATGGTAAAAATTAATAAGAAATTTACTATATATTTATTGTTTTTAATTAGCGATGGTCGATACTATATATTATAATATAAAAAAACGATATAGTAAATTTCCTTGTTGTATTTTTGAATTATCGTTAATTAAAAATCAGACTTTATATGATATATGGATTATTATATGTTATAATATAAAATATGATAAAAAAACAAAACACATTTTATTAATAGATTTGTTAACAATTTTTTCATATACAATTTGATATAAATTTTAATCATAACAATCGTCAATAATATGTAATAGATTAAATTGTTATAAAACATCTTTAAAAAGTTGTCTATTCTAAAATTTTTGTCCAATTACCAACAAAACTTAGGTATTTGTCCATTTTTTATATTAAAAATTATAGAATTGTTTATTGTGCTTTTTAGATGTTTGGTAATAATTTTACTTACGAAAGTGTTGTGATTTTTGTCATTTATATATACTTTGGCAGTGATTAAATAATTATAAAAAGGATAGCAAAACAAATAAAACTTTCAATTGATGAAAGAAGAGACTCGTTTCATTCTTGTACTCCACTGCATAACTCAATGGATTACAATTAAAGAAAAGAAGAATAAAAAATGTTCATGTTTTGTTTTATTCATATGTTTTTCAAATCCATTAAACCAGAAAAAACAACAAAAGTCCAATTTTTTCGAGTAAAAAAGCATTATCAACAAGTTTCAACACCAAAATAACAGTGAAAACACCGGACTCTTCGATTTCATTTCTTGCCACACCAAGCTCTATTTTGTCTTTCTATTTTCGGTGAAATGATGGAAACAAAATTTCAAAGTATTATTAGATATCTAATTTCGTAATTTATCATTTGATAATTATTTTTTGCTGAAATAATTAACGATAACATTTAAGTTTGGATGTTGTTGTTTTACTAATTATCGGGAATTCAAATAAAATAAAAAATACCTTTTCCATAATTATTATTCCATCCTTACAGATCTATTTTAACTTTTTCAAAATGCAGGGAATCTTTATCAAATAGCGTTAAACAAATGCTAAAACTCGGGTAAATTCCTTGACAATTTGTTTTAAAAACTACTTTCCAGGGAATCGCCTGCAAAAAATCGAATCAAGAGGTGTAAAAACACAAAATTAAAACCACCAAAATTGTTGTTTCTCTTTGAAGTTTGGTGTTTTTACTAGGAGTTCGAAAGGCGTTTGGAAACAAAAGTTAAAATATTACTCAAATGATACAACTAGAAGTTTCGAAATAAATTTGCGATCGAAGCATCGTTATGTGCGAATACTCTGTCTTTCTGCTGAAGGACAGACTGACATAAAAGTCTATTGATCATTTGTCCTTTTCTACAGATGTCTCTTTTGTTTAAAAGGAGTTTCCCATCTTTGTAAATAGCCGTGATAGTCTCGACTTTCAAAGTCGAATTCTTCCCAGATGTGTATTGACTTGCGAATGAATATCCCATGTCTCTTAAAAAGTCAATGAAGAGATGGTGAGCCTCAAAGTTTTTGTTCATTGGAACTCTTCTTGATGCAGTGGTATCTTTAATGCCATTGGCTTTATCCCACTCGGCTCTTTGTAGACATCTTTCTTCGATGAAATTGACTACATTCAATTCATCTTGGTCTTGTTTTAAGGTTTTGACTCTGATGAATTGTGGAGTGACAACAGACTTTTTGGTTGGATGTTGGATATGCACTTCGAAGGATTTATTCAAAAGTGCAATACAAATAGCTTGTTGGCAGACCATATAGTTCTTATAATCAAAGAACTGTTTGTCCTTCCTTTTCATCACTCGAACTCCTTGTTGGTGTTGAACTGTGTTCTGCATATCGTTCATTATTATAATCTGATGTTTTCAGATGAACAAGTATCCTCTTAAGCCTAAGAGAACCAAAAACCCTTGGAAGTCCAACAATCATTTTCTTCATTTTTCCCCAAAAGAATCAAAAATGTAATTAACTTTCACAAAAATTTGAATCAAACAAGCGAAAAAAAAATGCAAAAATTTCAGCTCCTGCGTCGAGTTTTTTTTTGCATTTATAGTTTCTCTATTTCCAAAAATAAAACTAGTCTTTTTAATTGTTGAAACTAATTTTATTAGATTTGTCGTACTTATTCGACCTTATGTGTTTTTCTCACGAAAAAAAATGAAAAAAAAACTATTCTAAAAAAATACAAAATTTGTCTCCTTTTTGTATTACTTTATAATTTTTGTCCAAAAAAATAAGTTGAAAAACGACATTTTTTTATTAATGTAAATATTCAGTCAGGAAAGAAATAAAAAAACGAAAAAAATTAAATAGTTTATAGTATTATCTATTATTGGTCTTTTTTCCTCAAAATATACCTTTTCTAAAAATATCCTTTAAAATATAGTTTCATGATTGTTTAATTTACTGCAAAAGGAAAGATCACTAAGTTTTCATCACTTCATTAATAAACTACAGAAATATGAAAGTTATAGTTTTTGTATAAAAGATAATTTCTTCAGAAAATGGGGGTTGGACAATATGGTGATGGTGGCAACGCACTACTTTCCTTTCTTTTTTTAATTCAAATGAAATCAAAAAATAGTAGAAAATATAACATTCATAAAAATAACAGGGAACCGCCGTTTTATTTTAAATTCATTTTTTGCATAAAATGAAAATAAAAAGTGTGTTATTTTTTATTATTTTTTGTCAAATCAAAGTTGTCCTCAAAAGAAGGAAAATGAAAAAAATTGAAGTGGATCGTTTTAATTGCTTGATTATATTCGTCACTTTTTGATTTGGAAAGTATAGATATTTAATTAAACTTACAGAGTAGACTTGAAACTCGTTGTCGTTATTTTTCGCAATCTTAGTTCTCAAACTTTTTATCAACAAAATCGCTTTCAAACAATAAAGTGGTGCCGATTGTTATTTTAAAAAGTGTAAATATTTTTATGTTATGTAGTTGAATAATAAAACCGGATGTGACAAAAGAATTTTGATGATTAGTATGTTTTTAATGGAAAAAAGGATTTTTTTAAATTAACGGTGTTGAAAAGTTAATAACAAATTATGTTAAGTAGTTTATAAAAATTAGTTTTGAATAATTTAATCGAGAATAAATATATCACATTTTTTATCATTACTGATATTGATTATGTAAAAAATTCATACACTTAGTATATTTAAAAAATCATAAAAATTGGCAAAATATTCAATTTGAATATTTTGACGCTCATTGAATTAACATGAATTTCAGTGTGCCATTTCATGTGAATTGTGTCAAATGGACTGATATTAAAGCGTTATTAATAATTTCTATTCAAAAGCAAGACTTGATAAAGTTTTGAACAAAGTTCAAATGGTCAAAAACAAGAAAATTGAAGTTTATAAAAGTCAGTTTATTTAAAATTATTTTTAGACAATAAAATTACAGAAAAAATGTTTTTATAAAAATGCGAATCCAAAAACTTAAAAATTTGAGAAAAAAATGAAAAAACGATTTTGTGTGTTTTGAAAAATTTGTATATTTCCCGAAATATTTCATTTTAATAATCCAAAAATGACTACACTGCATAACAATAGTTTTCAAAATGACAATATTTGATTGTTTTTCTATTGAAGTTTTTTTGTATAAAAACTATAAAAAGCTTATTTTCACAAAGAAAATACTTACAGTTAGTTCGGATTCAAATGAAACAAGTCTCATAATAAATTGAATTTGTCTCAAAACAAATTAAAATTGCACCTATATTCAATTTTGTTTCAAAACAATAAAAATTTGTCTCATTACTTTGTAATTTGTCCCAATAAAAAACAAAAGTGTTTCAAAATGATATAATGTTTCAAAATAATATTAAAATGTCCTAAAAGTAAAAAAATTTGTCTCATAAATGTGTAATTTTGTTCGATAAAGATTGTAACACTCTTTAAAAAACAATAAAAATATACACACATACTCTTTTTTGATAAAAGGATTTTGAAATTAAATAATTACAAACACTTTAAAAAATCAAAACTTGCTTTTAAATAATGAACAACTTAAAAAATATCTAACTTTAAGAAATTGTAAAATTTGTTCGTATAGTTC